ATGTGCATGTGTGTGTTTAATTTAGGAGTGATCAACCTAATTTCTCACACTAGATTGCATTGTATGTTCACATTGATACGAAAAATTGATTTGTGGCTTACATTTGACGATTGAGTAGGTTTGCAAGTTTCCTAGCTAGAGTTTCTCGTAGTTGGCGCTAGTTTGACCTCTAGGAGATTAGTCTACCATACTCTCTTGATTGCTTAATTGATTTTCTCTCACAACACTCGACTTAGTCATCTCCAATCCCAATTAGTTAAATCAATTATGAGTCTATGTGGATCCATACCCTACTGCTTGATAAATTTGATTTCATTTCAATTGTTTGATTGGTAGAATAGACACACCTCACTTCATTGCTTCGAAATAGCTTAGCTTTCACATTTGCATTCACCTCCCATTCCTAGTTGTTAGACCCTCGACTTACTCTATGCTTTGTATAGGGGTGTGTTGAGAGATTACAAATTTTGTTTTGACCAACGCTAGATTAGTTTTCAACGACCTAGTCTCGCCTTAGATAAAAAACCACCTCAACCCACCGCCGCTTACCTGAAATTACCTCAACCCACCACCGCTCACCCGAAACCACCTCAATCACCACCACTGCCAACCCAAACCACCTTTACCCACCACCACTGCCCACCCTAACAACTTAAACCCACCGCCGCTCACCTAAAACCACCTTAACCCACTGCCGCTCACCCGAAACCACCTCAACCCACCACCACCGCCCACAAAATAATAAGAAATTCAGAAAATTAACCACAAAATCTGAAACAAAATTATTATACAATAATTATACAAAATAAAGAAAATTATCCACAAATCAGAATTAAAACAAAAAATATAGATCTGTCAAAAATTATAAACTAAAATTACAATAAAACAATTATAGAAAATACAGAAAAGCCACAAATCAGAAATAAAACAATAATATAGATCTTCAAAATTTATAAACTAAAATTACTATAAAACAATTATATATAACCTAAATTAAATATCAGATCCAGAAAACCATGACTTCTCTTATGCTCGTTCTTGTGACGGTGGAGGTCGTTACGATGGCTCGAGTGTGTATGATGAAGAGCAGCGTGGAGGAGAGAGAAAGCGTCGGCATCAACACCACAACCGAAGCTTCCGATTTGAGCAAAGCTTGAATGAGCAGCCATTTTCCGGCTTCTTATTCTTCAATTCTCAAGTGCTTTGTTTAATTTTCGGCAGTGAAATTTAAAGAATTAGGAGATGAGAGTGAAAGAGACTGAAGAAAAGAGAGGAGGGGCGTTAGAAGGAAGAGAAGGATAGAGAGGAGATAAGTAAAATGGAGAAAGAGGGGCGTGAGAAGAGAGAGAGAGAAAAAAAAAGAGGAAGAGCAACTGTGTAAATAAAAAAATAAAACAAAAAAACTAGGGTTAGTGTGAGTTGGAAGCTTGAACCCCTTTTACACCCTATTTTGAAACCTAATAAAATAAATAATTATGACGCTAAAAACGGTTGCAATTTTTCTAAATAGCGTTTGTTTAACAAACAGTCGCAAGCTAAGACCGTTTTTGGCGGTCGCATTTATTATAATTTTATTTTGATTTATTTTTCACCTGATTTTTAAAAAATAAATTATTCAAATACCATTGCGACGGTTTAATAGGTAAAAAATGGTCGCAAACTTGCGACCGCCTTAAAAACGGTCACAAAATTACGCCTGCCTTTAAAACGATCTTTAATTTCTAATTTTGCGACCGTTTCAATGACGGTTGTAAAAAATCGGTCGTAATTTGACCGAATTCTAGTAGTGAGTGCCTCCATGTTAACTACAGCTTACACAATTAAAGTAGTAACCCAACCATCACAAAGTATAAAACACCCTGCACACCATTTACTTAAGCATGATAAACACTCCCAGGCCAAAACTCCGACAAATACACTAATAACAACAACAAGCCAAAGTACAAAGTGCTGATTTATGCCTCCTTTGCCTTTAACATCTCTTCTCATCCTCTTTCTATCAGAGTTGAGAGCCTTGCATTTCATCTTTAAATTATCAACCTCATTCAACAAATACCTCATTTGACCACTAAGGTCATTAACTTCCCTTTTGTAGTAACTTACTTCACCCTTTAATAACTTATTATCTAACAACAGGTTGTTGATAACCTATGTTTGTCATGTTGTCCCATCAGGTTAATCAACCCATTCAAAGCCTTACACCCCCTACTTTCAGTCATAGGCCGGATAAAAAAACTTGCACGTCATGAATTTTCTCCCAGGATTCTCCTTTGTCCAACTAGTCAGCTTTGCAAATGGAACACCACGTATGACACTTCTTCTCTTTTGAAGGAGATGAGCTTATGAAGGACATGACATGCAGCAATATGGAATGCACAATTAAAACACAACCCTATATTCTAGTCCAATTGAAAAGCAAAACAAATCGAATTAAAGATTGAGACCTGAAATTGAAAAACCCCCCTAATTCAAGTTTTGGGATGAACCCTAATTTTAAAATTTGGCATATTACAAGGATACCAAAAAAAAAAAAAACCATGAATGTACATTAATTACATGATGAATCAACTACAAAGTGGAATTAGTCACAATTACCCTAAGAGCAAGCCTTTGATTAGCAAATTAAATAAAATCAAAGTTCTATGTTCTTACCTTATTTCAGCTTTCACCACCAAAAATAGTTGATTGGCTGTTGAATCGTTGATTTAGGTTAGGTTTTGAGTTTACTTTCTAAAATTTCCCCCGAATCAATGTGTTTAGTTGTTCTAGAATAGCAAAAATGAACGTTAAGGATGATAATCGAAGACATTTAAAAGGGTTTCCAAAAAGTAGTCGTTGTAGTGGGACCTAGTAACAGATCCAATAACAAAGTAACAATTTAGGTGGTGATATCAAAATTTTATTTTTTTATGTGGTATTATAATTAAACTTTTAGAAAATGAGGTGTTATAATCAAAATTTTGCAAAAAAATGTAATGTTATTTTCTAATTTTTCCTTAATTTTATTCATGTACAAATTTCTTACTGCGCGTTTTTACAAGTTAGCGTTGAATAAAAATGGTCCTTTTATATTTTTCAAATCCATTTTATTCTTAAGTATTTTTAACAAAGATATCATTGATAATGTAATACCTTTATTTTCTATTTACCTCCTTATACTTTAACACTTATGAGATCTTATTGAATCTATTGGGTGTTTTAATTTTTACTCTTTTAGGTATGATTATTGATATGGGTACTTCAATTTTTTTTTTGTTATGATAAATCTAATGGAATATAAATTTTATGAGACATTTATTGAGCTTGTTTCTTGGATAAAGAAATTTGGATGAACTTCCAACTCGACCTTATTAGGCCTTGTTCACTTCATCTTATTCTAACAACATTCAATATAATAAAATAAAGTTCAATAAAAATGACTTTATACAAACAAAAATTAGTTATATTCATCAAAATTAGTTTCAGTTTAGTTAAAATAAGTTTTATTATTAAAAACTAGTAATTTAAAAACAATATAATTAGAGTTTCAATAAAAATAAGTTTTAACGTGTAAAAATCATGTAAGTTTAGAAAAATCATGTAATTTCTGCTCAGCAAAAATATAGTGAAGAGAATAGATCCTTAATAATCATGATAAGAATGTTTAACTTCTTTTTTTCTTGTCAATAACTATATACTAAAAAATTCACCAGCGATCTCCTGGTGTGTCCTTAGTTTTTTTTTTTTAAAATATGTTAAAAAGATCTTATACTTAAATTATTACTATCTTTAATTCATTTTATAGTAATTAATTAAAATAAAAGATTTAATATACTCCATATTTTTTAAAATACGATATTGACAACTAATAATAAAAATATCATAAAAATATTTTAGACATTATTTTGTGACATATTGTACAACAATAAATATTTTATTATTGATATGATTTACCAAATATTTATCTAATTATGTATAATTAACTTCATAATAAAAATGTGGATTTTTCTTGCCAAAATAACTTATTTCAATATATTCTTTCTTCACTTCTCATTTATTTCCTGTTAAAATTATGAACATCATAACATCTATGGAACGAATCATTATTAAATTTCATTAAAAACAAATGTGACTTCATAGTGTGATTTTCACTTGCCAATTTCCCTATATACATTATATTTTTTTTTTATTAACTACATAGATTGGGAAAATAGTACATCTTATTCCAGTAAAATAAAGTTTGAAATTATAAATATCTTTTTTTTTATTAAGGCATTTATTTGGACATGAATTAAGGTATTTTTGGATTAATATTGTTTCCTACAATATTAATCCTTTCTAGGGATTGCTATATGGATTTAAATAAAAAGATGTATTAAGCAATTGCTTAAAATACGCAAACCTTTAGTCAATGTGGTGTATGTAATTAAATTGTAAAAAAGTCAAATTGAGAAAAGAAATTTTTATATTTACTTGGGGTAGGTTCAATGTATATATAATCAAGATTATTTTTACATAATTTGATAAATATTGTTCATTTAATTATCATCGAGCAAGAAACACTTTTGTGTGTGCTTTGCACACGAATGTATACAATAATCTTCATAAAACTATAATTAGTGATAAAAAGATGTTTTGTTAAGTCAAAATGATTTATGATAGTTTTAATAGTATCCGTGCATGACACGGGATCTAAACTAATATATATAAAAAGCCAGTCACAATTCTTAAAAAAACAAGAAAAGCACTTTCAAGATTTTTTTTTATAGCATTATTGCCTCGAGTCTTAAAAGTGAAGGAAAATATTATTAGGCATTCCTTATTTTTGTTTGGCCTATCGTATGTCTAACTTATTAAAGTAGGCATTAGAAACATATGACTATTATGAGAGCTAAGGTTTAACTAAATAGTAGAGAAAAATAATATTGTGGAACAATTTACGAAACCCATATTGTGTGTATAGTTGATTAATTTTTACATAAATGTTCAATTGTTTATCAAAATCGAAAAGAATGACATTCTTCAAAAAAGGTACTGTAAATTTATTTAGATAAAATATTTTAATTTTGTAAGGAAATGAGCCTATCATACTTTGGGTGGGGGGGTGTCTTACGTGCATTATAACATACATATCATATCAAATCTGATTGATACATCAATGCTTTGTGTCGCAAAAATTCTTAAATTCCTTTGCAACCTGGGAGATCGATCCATTGCAATTGTAGTTCCACTTCCCCGCACTCAACATTTTTTAATCTCAAGCAAAAGTTTTGAATGACCCTTGAATCTGTCCAAATAATATGACTTTCTTCGGCTAAACAATTTTGTCTACAAGGTTGAACTCTTGATATTAAAGTTCCACCTGGTAGATTATCTAAGTTCATCTTCAAGGCGTCTATGAAGGGCTTGATGTCAAATTCTGCTTCCCCCATTTTATCATCTTTACTAAACATGTCATGGTCGTAAACAGTCTGGAAGCACAATAATATCAAACGATAATAAAGTTAATTTAAGTGCTAATAAAAAAAATGTACATATTTAATTTTTAAATAATAGAAACACTTTTATTATTGTTCATGATATCAATAGTAAGGGCTCTACGTTTTATGGTTTTCTAATAGAATTTCAAGAAAATGAAAGTTTGTCTTTATTATTAAATTTATCCTTTACAAAAATAAAAATTAGAATAAGAATGAAATAAGCTATGAGTAGATAAATTAATATTCCCTTCATCCTTTTATTAGAATTCGATTTTTAATATTTATTGCTCATATAATAAAGAAAAATGAAGTTCTTATAAAAGGACAGAGGGAGTAGCAAAAATAGAAAGTGACAATATTAATTTTTTTGGTGTTTAGAAAGCAATAATGACAAGTGATGATGAGATTCCTTGAAATCAGAGGGAAGCTATAACCAATTGAGCAATTTCTCAATCTCACAATAATATTGCTATTATGAGATGATCTTTACTAACTTAATTTGTAACGATAATTATAATTTCAGAAAAATCTTTTGATATTTTTCAACTTTCTTGGATTATTGGTTGAATTAGTTTTCTTATAGTAATTATATTGTTACAAAACTTACTCGATAATTTATCAAATGCCAAAACAACATCGTACTCTCGACTTTCGGATAACAAATAAATGAGGAGTTATCTTACCAGCTGAATAGGTAAACTGGGATCTGAAACAGAAAGGGTGAGATCTTCATTCCATTCGGGGTTCACATCTTTCTTAATGACACGAGTCTTCAGCTTCTGAAATTTTTTTGGTAAAATGAAAAAAAAAAATTAAATCAAAGATAAAGATTAAAAAATCCAAATTTAAAGTATAGTTATGATATAGTGTTACACTATTTCAATGTTTTACACAAAACTTTCCCTAATATGTACTATTATACAATACTCCCTCCATTTTTAAATACTTGTCCCATTTCTCCATGCGCGGAGTTTTAGGAGAAATTAGAGAAAGTAATAAAATATGAAGGTAGTGGGATAGTTGAGAAATAAAAAATTGTAAAAAACAAAAGTAATGGAAGAATAGGAGGAGAGAAAGTATTATGTTGGGTCCACTAAGCATGAGTAATGAATTAAATATTGTAAATGCTTTCCAAAAAAAGAAAATGGAGCAAGTATTTAAAAACAGCCGAAAAAGAAAAGTGGAGCAAGTATTTAAAAATGGAGGGAGTATAATTTAAGCAATAAATTAAATTTTTTAAAACTATTAATTGCACTTACAGAATGGTTATTTTATACTACCTTTGTTTTATTTTATGTGCAACAAAGACCTTAACACAGATTTATAGGCAAAATTTGCTAGTGAGTGTTAAATGGAGAGAGAAAGATATAGATACATGTAATAAGGAGAGAAATGACACCTTAAAAATGAAAGAGCAAACAGTTGTAATGTGTAGCATTTGTTGTAATGTGTAGCATTTGTTTCTAGTAAATGTTGCATTTAATAGGTAATGAGTGTATTTATGTGTAAGCATACTTGGGAATTAATTTTGACACACCCTTTATTGATTTTGACACACCCCTATATGAGAAGAGCATAGAAAATTGTGCTCTCACATAGGGTTGTGCCAAAATCAATTGGGGGTGTATCAAAATCATTTCTCAGCATACTTTTGTCAATTATGCAACAAAACTAAGTTCTTCTAATTCAAGGATTTGACCTATCATTATTACCATCATCACACACTTGTACGAAATTGTAGATAATGGTCATGCAAATTAAAGAGGGAGTAGTTTGAGAATTAGACCATGTATCTTTATATCATGATTAGTTTGAGAATTATTTGAGGCTAAAATTAGACCAAAAGTTCAAAGTTTTGGACACAGAGGGAGTATTAAGTATTAATTTATGTTATTAATGTACCATCAACTCAACTATCAATAACAGGCCAAATTAATAATTCTGTACAAAAAAAATACTCCTTAATAATAATTGACATAACTATTAAAAATAAAATAATTATGTAGACAAATAGGTAAAAAATGAATTAAAATCCAAAGACGTTATATATGTAACGGTCGTTTTGTGCTGAGTCCAAAAAGTTACACACACTAAATTTATTGATTTTTTTATTATATATTTTCTCCTCTCTTTTCCCAAAAAGTTACTCACTCCATTCCTAAATTACATTTCTGGTTTCTATTTTGTGTATTCCAAAATTACTTCCTCCTTTTTATTTTTAGAAAGTTTTTTTTTTTTTTTTTTCCAAATATCCCAAATCAACTCTCTTTTTCTGTTGTATATTTAATGCTTTCTCACTCTTATTTTCTCTCACTATCATTTTTTTTTTCAAGTTTGTACTTCCCATGACTAACCTAATGAATATGATTGTTCTTAATTTTCAATTAGAAGCATGTTATTGGTCCTTTTTTTTGCAAAAGGTTGATGACATGCCATCATTAATCATTAATTTATCTTTGTTTTACTCAAAAACATCATTTAATGTTTTGTATTTCCCATTAAAACATTTCATTATTGTTATTTGTCTAATTTTTTCCACCTTAATTGTCGTGTAATTTTACAAACAGAAATGTCATTTAGGGACGGAGGGAGTACTAATTCTACTCGTAAGTAATACTCCAGCTAAATAGCGTAAGTTTTACGAGCCACAATGTTGCAATTTTATGATACATGTAAACATTTTTTTATAAGCTAAGCATTACGCTTTGTTTGGATAGCAAAGAAGGAAGGAAAAGAAGGGGAGGGAAAATAGAGGAAGGGAAGGGAAAAGAAAGGGAGGGGGAGGTAAGCTTCATTTTCCCTCCAAATCTCTCCAATTTTGGAGAGATTATGATTATTAAAGAGAGAGGGAAAATGAATCCCTCCCTCTCCTTTCCCTTCCTTCCCCCAATCTTTTATCCAAACAAGAGATTTTGTCCCCCTCCATTTCTGTTCTCTTCTTTTCCTTCCATTTCTTCCTATCCAAACAAAGTGTTAGGATTTTATATATGCCTGTTTTAACTTCTATTATTCATTTATGATTAGTGTAAGCATAATGCTAAATGAAGTGATCTTATATAGTTTTAGTATTCTGTAATTGTACATGTGTCTCATTAATGATATTGTTTAATACTTCCTCCGTTTCTTTTTAATTGACATGTTTTCTTAGGGCCTGTTCACATTTACCGAATCGAGCTGAATTGAATTGAACTGATTGAAGCTGAATTGAAATGAAGTGAACTAAACTAAGCTGAGCTGCAATGAATATTTTATTAGAGAGGGAAATTAGGAGTTGAATTGAACTTAAATGATTGGAGTTGAACTGAACTGAACTGAAGTGAACTCAACTGAAATTATGTAAATGTGAACAGGCCCTTAGTCACGTTTTCTAATGCACAAATTTAAGCATTAATATCTTTAAATACAGCTAAGAAAAATTTATGAAAAGTTGATACTTCGAAAACATATATCGTGGGGAATCTAACAAGATCCCATGTAAATATATTTTTCATAACGCATAAAGCACAAAATACGGCAAAAAACAAGTGTGTGAATAGTGTTAAAGTCAAGATGTGTCCACTAAAAAAAACGGAGGTAGTATTAGAAAACTAAGAAATATCTATTTAAAAAATGGTGTTAGAAATATATGTCATAATAAGTAAATTTTTAGATAAAAAAGGTTTTTTTTCGGTTATGTCACCAAATTTCTTTAGTTTCTAAGCTGTGTCCATGTCTTTTTCAAACGTGTAAGCTGTGCCATCAACCTCACTAATTTTTATTAACAATAACCTTTGACGTTAACAATAACCTTTTTTATTATTATTTTACTTTCTGATTTTTAATTTTTTTTTTACAATGTTAAACCAATTAGAACGATACACGTATCAAAGTAATAACGCCAGGACACCATTGTTGATAAAATAACTTATATTAAATTTTGTTAACGAATATGGTTGTCAAAGGGTAATGTTGATAAAATATCGTGAGGTGGATGACACAACTTATAACTTTGAAAATGCATGGATACAACTTAGAAACCGAAGAACTTGGGGGCATAGCTTAAAAAAACCTGGAAAAAAAAATTGGCTGGTGGTGTATAAAAATATCAATAAAAAATTTGATTCTATAAATTTAAAATTATTAAAAAGGTTAACAAATTTGGTAAAAAGATTGGTTAATAAATTTTGTTTATTAAGTAATTTACATGCTTGAAAAACAATCAGGTTAGTTAGTAAAAAGCCAATTTCGATTACTTTTTCTAATTAGCTTCTAAATGATACATTATAAAACATATTTTTAAACCTCAACCATCAGTTAAAACTTTTGGTTGAGTTGGTCCACTAACATGGAATCGGAGCCAGAGTGACATAAAACTTTTTGCCCAAAGAGGCTCTCGTGTGAGGTGGCGTGATAGAGTATAAAACATATTTGTGGGCCTCAACCATCAGTTTAAGCTTTTGGTTGAATTGATCCACCACTAAATTCATAGATTGTATGTGTAAAGAATTTTATAAAATGTCATTGTTCTCTATATTTCTTTTTTTCTTTTTGTTTTTTTAAAAAAAAATCCTATCCTTCCCCAATTATTTAAACATTAACATAATGCTACATAATATTTTTTTTTCAATATTAAAACATCGGGCACAGTTACCTTGAAGTAACTAGAGGTAAAATCGGTGATATAGGAATGTTACAAACACATCTTTTAATAATCATAACAAATGTGTTGCCCGAACAATGTTTTGGGTTATTTTTTTTAACACATGTAATTGAATAGATATGTTTATTCTTTATTATTTATTTATTCATTAATTGTTTAAAATTTATAATAGTTTATCATTAAACCTTTGAATAAATTTTTTATGAAACAACTATTGACTAATTATATAAACATGTTCTTGTAAAAAAATTATATAGACATATATTTTGTATATAATTTATAATATAATGAAAATAAAGACATAATTATTATCGTAATAAATAAATAACTAAAATTTATAACAATAATTAATTTTTGTTGCTTTTATGTATTATCTCGATGATCATAATTAGCAAATATTAGGATCAATTTTTTTTTTTTGTAAAGAATTGCATTTATTAAATATTCAGATCTCCATCCAATCAGTATACTTATATATTTATGAGTCGGCCGATATTAAAACATGATTAATAAATGATTGAGATGGTAAGACATTTAATGCATATTTTTGTAGTTGTGAGTTCGAATCTCATGATACACATTTTTATTAGAATATAAAATGACATGGTGAGGGACATTTTTATTAGAATATAAAATGACATGGCGAGGGTGCCACGTGACACATAAACGTTTTTAGGAACGCTTTTTTTATATATAAGAACTAGGTTAGGTCACGTGTCATGCATAGTGATCTACAGTTATATATAAGTATTACTTCGTATAATCATAAATTAGTCGAGGAATAATAAAAGTATATAATATGTTGATTTTTTTAGTTGTAACTTCTAATACACAACTAAAATAAGAGTAGACAAAAAATCTTAGCACTATTTTTTCTTATTGTAAAAATATATCACAAAATTATTTTAATAATATGATTTTTGATTCATAGTTGTCCAAATATTTTAAGAAAACCTGTGAAATGTTTTCATTTTAAATATATAATTACAACATATTAATATGAAATATGTATATAAGATAATATTAATTTGTAAATAATTTATTTCCTTAATCAATAGATATTAATTATTATTTTTTTAAAAAAGAAAAATAATTAAGAACACATCAGAAGATGACATATATAGATTTTTTCTAATTCAATATTCAAGAAGATTGAATGATATTAAAATACATTTGAAAAATTAAGATGAAATATAAAGTATATTATAAAATATTGTTTAAAAATCTACACAAAAAAAAAATAAAACAAAAAACCGGATTATAATATATAAAAATAGTCATTATGATATGAATGCACATACTTAAAACAAGAAGGGGGGATAACTAATAAGAAGAAAGATTAACCTGTTTTCCCATCTTGATAACAACATAAGGATCGCTTGTTCGAACATCTCTAACCGCAAGATTTATCCCTCTAATTACTTTCACTCTCAATAGACCCAAAAGATTATCCATCAAAGAAGATCCCAAAGATAAACGTCCACTACTAGGTGGTGTTTTCGGAGGAGATTCCATTTTTCTTCTACTTTTAATGATATATTTTACTTGCTGAAGCCCCAATTCTTTTGGTGATTAAAAAAATTTCTTAATCTCTTCCACCTGAAATCAAACAAATAAGTTAATAACAGTAGACATTAATTTTTTCTTTACTATAAAGAAAAACTCCATATATAATAAAAAGGTTATTTTTTATAAATATAAATATTTTATTATCTAAGTCTCATTGAAATATTGATTATAGCAAGAGGCCCGCAAACCATTTCAATATGTAAATTTGGAAATTATTAGGGATAAACAATCGTATAAGTTTTTCTTCATCAAAAAGTTTATCAAATTAATGATGAATAGTATTTATTATTGTGAAATGATCTTACACATCAATAGGGAGGAGAGAGACAATGAGGAGAAGATGAAGGGAAATGTGTGATTTAAAAAATTGAAGTTTTGGTTTGTCTTATTAACAGGATTAATTTCCGAGATATACGGATATATCAATCAGATATGTTAATAAATGTGTTCATTGTTATAACCATTATTTGTAAAATAAAATTTAAAGCTTGCGTTTAGGTGTTTTTACAATTTCATGCATGTAGTGTCTTTGAAGATTAGAAATTAAAAATTCATTTATATGTGAATGCAAAATTTCAAAACTTCTAAATAATGGAAAAATTATTATCCGCATTTTTCTAATAAGACGCTTATTAAGGTTAAAATTTTGCATGAATGATTTAAAATTTCAAACTTATTATGTAATTTTATTGATAAATGGTTATACTTTGCACTTATATTTGTAGAATTTCAAATAAAACTATATTGTTTTCAATGATTGGTAAAGGAAATTTTTGAGAATAGTTCTCACAGAAAGGAGTGGCATTTCTAAAATACTATTCTCATCAATGACTTTTATAACTAAGTCGAAAAGGACGGTTGGACATCATGTATTCAAAATAGTAGGTAGTTTTGATAAACATGAAGTATTGAGTTGTAAACTCAAATTGTCAATTTTGACAACCGACACATCTTTTCTCTTCATACATAGATGAGTAGGTCTCATTAATGTAGTAATGCAAGCATGAATTAAAAAAAAAATGGAACTTTGTTTTACGGCGAACTAGATGCTTAATTATGTCTAACAAAGTATAAAAGTCAAAACACTTAAATAAACGGTTCTTAAAGATTATGAAATGAAGTATGATATGAAATATAGGAAACAAGGAACAAAGAAAAGGAATAAGATTCCATTTCTACTAAAGAGTTCATGTTATTACAGTTAACTTAGCAACTCGTTATCTTCACAAGTATTGGATACTGCTTGAGGGTTTCACTTTAAAAGTGACCTCAAAATATTGAAGTAAAGCTAAGTTATTGGTTTACAAGCTTTGAATGAAGCAAGAAGAGCTACATTAGTTAAAAGGTTGTATGCTTTGTTTAAACCTTTTAAGCTAAGGGTGGAACAAATAATAGGTTATTATGTTCCATAATTAGCAAATAATCCGTTAACACATAGAAAGACTCACATTCTATGTAAATAACAATAGTTGTGAATTTATTTGAATGGCATGGTTGTCTAAACCATGAGTCAAGAATGCTTTATTATAAACAAACATTTCTCTAACATGATAAACTTACAAAGTTCAAATCATAGGCATGATTTGTGTACCGAACAACTTTAGCAGTGTCACATTAACAAGAACTTACTCAAGGCTATATAGGCTCTTGACAGTTGATCGATTCAGAATCGTTTTAAGACAAGCAAGTCTTACTTGTTAAAAACCGACAAAGTAAAGAGCTATTGTTCTTGGCATAGACAATTGACTCCAAGCGCTAAAGAACATTCAGTTACTTCAAAGTTTCACAAAGAGTTTGACAGAATGTGGCTATGTTCATCAAATGTGAACAAACTTGACCTATGCAACTCAAGAGTTCAGTGAAGTACGGAATGAACTTGGCAAGATATCAAAACGTCTAGATTAGATCGAGCGATGTTTGCTTGAGCCAAGCATGACCATCACAAATTTATGAATTGCAATTTTCATAAAAACAACTCCATAAAGAACATAGTGTGTCTTCACGGAGACCTCGATGCCATTTAAAAATTACTCGAACAATGATGGATCTCATCCCTTCCTGTAAAACTCTTACAGATTTGCACAAATGACTAATGTTACACTAAAGAAAATGTTGAAGTTAAGAAAGGAAACCATATTTATTTATGGATAGAAATAACTTCTAAACGTCTTTTCAAGTACATGTCTAAAACTCTTAGCCTCATTGGGAGCTCACTGGCTCAGTGGGAGCTAAGTGACTAAGTGGGAGCTCACTAGCTCACTGGGAGCTTAATGGCTCATTAAAGGCTAAGACAGCTCAAGTGGGAGCTAACTATTTGTTTCACAACGAACTTTTCCCAAAGACAATATGCATGTCTCTTTGTAAGCATTCAAGTGAGACTACGGACATTACCTCCACACCCAATTCAGAACATAATATTTGTTTCTCTAAGTGGTGTCTTTCTAGAAAGTAACACATTTTCAAAAAGACAAGTGGGAGGAAAATGAACTCGATGACAATCAAGTTTAGCAACAAACTAGAACTGAGAATCTCAGAAGACCTTAAAAGGGATACGTTAGAATACTTGATCTAGAATACTCAAAAGGACTTTACAAGTGCCTTAAAATAGAATTCATTACTCACAAAACTTCTGAAAAGTTGGAGTAAGATCAACATAATAAAAAGGCTTTGAAAGCACCTTGAAACTCAGTGTTTGATGCAATTACCCCGTATAGGTGTAGAATTCAACAAAGACTTGGATTAAATCCTACAAATTTCTATTAAGTTAGAAATAAACCTAAGAGTTACAAGCATACTATTTACTATTAGATATTAAGGGAATAATGCATTGCAAAATAGTTACGACAAATCCAAATTCCGAATAATGGTTAGAGGCCATAAAATCCGAAATAGACTCCATGTTTGAAAATCATGTTTAAAACTTGATTAATTTGCATAAAGGGTGAAAGGCCTATATGTAGGGAATAATTTCAAGCGTTAACCCCCTAGCTTGAACCCCACTATGATCATACACTAAAGTACGGTGGCGTCCAAAAGGGAAAAAGATAGAGTAAAAGAGTTGCCAACAAGTTTTAGGAACTTGTAAACCGTTCACAGGGTGAAGGTTACACCCCTTAACGATCCAAGAGATCGTCAACTCCATAAAGTCTTGAACCAAATAAGGGTTCGGGGATGAAGGTACAAATCCAACCTAAAAGAGATTGAACCTGCCCTACTAATAGGCCTGTACTTTATTCTGATCGTATTCATGTGCGCTTTCTGACTAACATGCAATCAATAGGATTAACCCTAAACCTGTTTATCAATGTTGGTTGAATTTAATGCACAAATAAAACTATTATTGGCGATCACTTGAATTATAATCACATTAACCCTAAACAAGATTATTAAATATCTTATTAAGCGTGATTACAAGTACCATTTCCCTTTAAACATGCGTAAAAGGCGTGATCAAGCAATAAAAATAAATATCAAGCAACATAATAATTATAAAAATCATAATTAAAAATAATCATCATCACAATAATAATAACAATTATAATCATAAATCATAAAGTATAATCATAATAATAATCAAACAATAATCATTATAATAACAATCATAATTAATAATAATAATAATCACGTTAAAGCATAGCAAGATCCTAGGCATGATACTAACAAGATTAATAACAAATCCTAGCATGTCACTAAGCAATAAAAATCAAAGCTTTAACCCTAACATGATACTAACAATCATAAATATTAGGACGAAACATAGGAAGCATTAGTATTAAAGTTACCCTAGACATGATACTAGGAATCAAAATAACAATCTAAACACGATTTCTACATAATAACATCAATAAAAACCATTAAAGCACTTACTTTGATGCCTCTTACCTCTTTCTAATAACAAAATACACACGTTAGTAACTTCAAGGAAAATAATAAACAAAACAATTAAATTAAATAATGGAAATAGAGATTTGGAACCAAACCCTTAGAAATTAAACCTTTCACGTCTAGGGCGAAGGCAACTTCGAATATGGCTAGGTGTTTCTAGATCTTGCGAATGCGGAATTTTGTATGTTAAAAGGCTAGTTTAGAAAAAGAGATAGAGAGATGGTGAATGATTAGAGAATGAGAGAGAATTGATGAATGTGAATGAAAACTGGTTTTGAATGTGTTAAAACTGATTGTAGGTGAATGAAAACGGAGTTTTTAATACGTTATTTATAGAGAAAATGAGCTAAAAAGAAAAAATATCAAAACAGAGTCTGGCGCACAAAAAAAAGAACCAGCGGCAACGCTGGCTGTTAGCGCCAGGCGCCAAGCGTAGCGCCAGGTGCTACAGTTGGCGTTTGGCACTGATTCAGAAAATCACGTGTTTTCTTAAATTCAGATAAAAAATGCCGTACAGGAGGATAAAATCGTATCTTTCTTCAAAAATGCTCTTTGATTTTAATTAAAACTGTGGAAAGTCAACAAAAGTCAATTTATCAATGCTAATTGAATTAGAAATGAAAAGAACCTTCTAGAAGAATCTAGAAGACTAAAACAATTTCTAATTGCATTAGGAATGATAAATCATATTAGCCCCTCCCCTAGGTCATTGGACCGCATATAAGGCTCAAACCGGGCCTAGTTAAGTAAATTGGCCATAATTTCCTCAATATTCATCGGAATTGGGCTTTTAATATATCATTGGAAAGCTCTTGTCAAGCCCCATCCAACTACACTACTATTGGACCCATATCATGGACCAACCAAACTGGATTGGCTGTTTTTCTTAAAATAAGTTTTCAAAAACAGAGAGAAGAGAAAAGAAATTAAAACTATCCGCAACGCTAAACTTTCCACACTTTCACTTCATTCGATTATGATTCGACGTGAAAGGTACTCATCACTGGGTTTGGTTTTGGGGAGACACAAATGGGTGTCTACAGAAGCCCCCACTTTGACTGAGTTTGGAGAAACACAAGTTTCGAAAACAAAAGTCAAAGTATCGATAGGGACGAAGAATGATTCAGAACGTTCTGCGATCC